GGGAAAGAGGAGGAAAATATTTAGTGGCGTCCTGTACAAAAGATGTGGAATCTTTCCCTTTTCAAGAGAAACAGCATTAAACACAATGGATGAAGTTGGCCACTGCTAGCAAGCAAAAATGGAGTAAGCACATGCATGGCTTTCTGTCTGAGAGCTACCTGTATTTATTCTACATTTCATTTGCAACTACACACCACTTTTGGAGAACAAGGCTTCCACCTCTGTGAAAGCTAATTCTGAAGCTGCCATACGTCCACGGTGCATCCTGGCACTCTCAAGCAGAGGCAGCGAGGACCCGACACTGACCTCTGGCAGCATTTCTGCCGTCTAAGTCAAGATCTCATCACTGACAGCAAGGCGCTAAAGCCAGAAAAATCTTAAAAATTGAGTTAAAAACCTTCAGAATAACACACTCTGTTCATAAAACAAGACAATAAACAAGAGATAAAAACAATCAATAATTGAAATTTTTATAAATTTTAAATCCCATGATGAGAAAGTAATGGAAGAAAGGTGAAGACAGCTCTGTAGAGTAAGCTTATCTACTCTGGTGGACCTAACTTTTATCATTCACAAGCTTGGCATAACTGCAATACTCATACAGATCAGTTCTATCGCACCACTGCAATGTTTTCCAAACTTCTGCAAGTTGGGCTTCCCTTCGTGAAAATGAAGCAAAGCAAGGCCCGAATAATTTCCACTTATATTACCAAAGATAGGCTTCTGAGGACCATTGTTGACTTTGTCTTTACGCATTTCATACCTTTTCTTGGAGAATCTCAGCTAAAATCCTCTCAAAAAAAACCCAAAACAAACAAAAACAAACCAAGACCAGAACAGACCAGTGGAAAGAGAAACTGAAAAGCCACGATATGAATGTATACAACATGACAAAAAAAAAAAAAATAGAAACCATTTTTTAAAAAAGGTTTGATTTTCTCATTCCTGTTAATGTGAAAGTAAATCTCATTATTACAGCCTGAAAAATAGTGGTTTTCTTTTTAATGTGAGGATTGTAATATGTTTTTAATTACTTCCATTCCTTTTCTTGCTGCTTCCATGAGCCTGAAGACAGCAGAAATAACCGGTGCCACCACAGACAGGCCTATGGGCACACCTTACGCACCGGGAATGCAGACCTAACGGCTCATTAAACTACGTGGAATAATCCCTCCCTGCAGGTGATCTTATCAAATTACCAGAGCACATGTCACGCCGAGACCGCCGTGCTCTAGCGCAGAATCCAGTTAAGGGAATTTAAACTGTGCCCTAAGCAGCAGGCACTCGCTGCTGCCTCACCTACGCTCCCAGTGACTTCTCTCTGCTGTGAGAGCGGGACAAGGTAGGGGATCTTCAGAAGCTCGAAGGGTGGGTGGGCACCCATTCCTTGTCATGATGCCTTTGAAGAATCCCTCTGCAGACTACTGGCATGTTAACTACAGATTTTGAGGACGCTGTGTCTGTTGGTGCTCCTGTGCTACTCAAAGCTTTTATGGAAACAATAACAAAACCAAATTCAACTCCTTGCATCCCTGCTGTCCCCACTCTTTCACTAACACACATGAGATTGAAGGAAACAACTAAGTTCAGAAACTCAGACAATCTACGAAGTGGTTTGACTCTGTTTGCATCTTTTGTTAAACATCTCTAAATAATCATTAATACAGATCTCTTGAAACCACATTCATTTCTTCACAAAGCAGTCTGCTATTTGCTAGTGATCTGCCTTACGTCCCATGAAACTCAGTGGGACTCTGGTCAGAGTTGTATCTTCCATCATCCAGCACTGTAAGCATATGCAGAGCAGCACACATTTTTTTAGTACACAGCATAAGGCAGAGTCATTGATAAACATAATCTCCTGTTAATCTGTAAGTAGTATAGAGTGTCCTTGCCTCTCTGTAGCTTCCCACACTTAATACAACACAGTGAATTTTCAAGCTGGATGTCCATTTTTCTAGGTTGAAATTTATTTAAGAAGAAATATGCTTGAAATGCAAACTCTCCAGGTATATCAGCTGCATCTGGAAGACACTCTATCAGTTCTCAAATACTCAGACCTCAGAATATTCAGTCATTCCTTAGCATGCTTGGATTCCTTAAACTTGAATGACTTTGGCAGTTTATGGAAGCCAAGTTT